AAATTTGAGCCACCTTTTTATTTTCTTTCTCCGGGTCTAGATTCTGTTGCTAAGCTACATCTGCAATCATTTTTTTTTCTTTAATACCTCTTTGTGACTAGTTTCACTTCGCATGTCTACAAGGTTTACCCGTGTTGTAGCAGCTGTTAATACTTCATTCGCTTTCATTTTGCAGGGAATTCCATTGTAGGAGTCTCCGTTTCTATCCATTAACTTACAGACATGTTCATATTTCCAACTGTTGGCTGTCATGAAATTTGCTGCTACACCATTTTGCATAAAAGTTTCTATGTTTCAGTCTTTTTTAGAGAAATGTCGCTTTTGTTTGCTTGCCCAGTTTTAAAGTTCTGTTAGTTTTTCAAGTTGCTTTGAGTGTCTTTTATGTGTTCAAGGTAAGTCCTCTGTCAGCTGTATGATTAGCAAATATTTTTCCCATTTTTTGATTCTGTGGATTGTCTTTTTGTATTTTTTTATGTTTAAAAAGTGTGTGTGTGCGCGCATGCATATGTACACATGTACATATACACTCCTGTGCCACTGTGTGCTTGTGAAGATAAAAGGACATGTGGGATTGGTCCCTCCCTTCTACCATTATGTGTGTTTCAGACAAGGATCAAATTCGGGTTACCTGGTGTACACAGTGAGCACTTCTACCCACAAAGCTAGCTCATCAGTCCATTTTTGTTATTTGTTTGTTTGTAGTTTCTAAAGATAGGGCTTCAATGTGTAGCCTTGGACATTTTAGAACTCACTGTGTTAACCTGACTGTCCTTAAACTCACAGAGATCTGCCTGTATCTGTTTCCCAAGTACTGAAATTGAAGGCATGTGCCACCACATCTGGCTCCATTTGTTTCCTTAAAGATACCATTTGAATTCCAAAATTTTTATCTTCAGTGAAGTCTTTTACTCTTTTGTAGTTTTGTTTTGTTTTGTTTCTTTGTCTTTTTATTTTGTTTGTTTCTCCTTGTCTTTTGTGCTTTTAGTCTCATGTTCAGACACTATGCCTGATGCAGGCTCACAAATGTATTCATGTTCGTCTCCGAGAACTTTACCAATTTAATTTTATTTGGGTTCACATTTAATTAATTGTTATATGCTATATTTGTTACATTTTTCATTTCCGTGACAAAATACCTGATGAAAAAGAACCTTAAGGAAGGAAGGTTTTATTTAGTCTCACTGTTGGGAGCACAGAGGTCCTTGCACCCACCAATCACCAGTGAAATTCAGTGTTGTCTTTTCAAAGAAAAAGATGTATAGCCTGTTTTTCCATCCAAAAGGTTGGGAATCGGAGATGACTAAAAGCCTGGTGATCAGCATTATCTGAAGAGCCAGGCCATATCAAGCTCTCACAGCCAGGACTGGAGATACTTGATAATCTAGATGACTCTTACATTATCTGTATTGTGGTGATATTTTGCTTGTGTTTTAACAAAGCTTGCCTAAAGATCAGAGTGCAGAGCTAAGCCACTAGTCACCAGGCAGTGGTGGCATGCACTTTAATCCCAGGACTACAGAGACAGAGGCAGAGGGATCTCTGGGAGTTCAAGACTACCCTGAGCTACACAAAATTGATCCCATTTAAAAGAGAAACAGAGCTCACACACAAGTGATTCCAACACTAGGGAGGTGGAGACAGGAGTGATGAGTGGGTGGAGAGAGGAATTTAAGGGGGAAGGAGGCAGGAGCTCAGTGCAGTCTTGAGGCAGCAGTGTGAAGCAGTCGGTCAGGACAGGATTACCCCTGCAGTCTGAGCATTGGTGGATGTAAAAGGTTTCAGTCCAGTGGCTGGGCGCACTGCTTCTCTGATCCTTCAGCTTTCACCCACAATATCTGACTCCGGGTTTTATTTATTAAGACCAATTAGAATTGGTGCTATACTGTATAGCTAAGGGCTCCCCCCAAATGCCCACAACCAGGACCAGAGGTAGCTAATAGGTCATAACTCAGATGACTTCTTTGCTGTCTGTATGACTAAGACCACATCAGATCCTTCCCTAGGCCCTTAAGATAACACATGTAGCCTATCTCTAGAGCCCATTTTCTTGGTAGAAATGACATGTACTTTGAGTTGAGTTTCGATGTAATTACACCTTCTTGTTCACCAGGGATCGTATTAGGAAGCTGTTTTTCAAATTGTACTGTGTTTAAATATGCTTACCATAAACTGCCTAGTATCAGACTCCAGAAGTTTGATCCAGCCTGAACCAAGGTTCATTCTTACCTCAGGCAGATTCTTTCCCTGTAAGCTGTGACACTTGCAGCCCCCACCACCACCATACACACACACACACACACACACACAGCTCACGGTGTGAGAATGCCTTCCGTATGCAGAGGAAAGTGTTTGGCGTGTAGAACAGTTCTAGCTGGACCAGCAGGCATGTGAGGCAGCAGGTTGCACCGTATCCACTGTCAGGGAGCAGAGCTGTGCATACTTTGTGCCACACTGATTCTTTCCTTTTATTTTTATTATTTTTTTTATTTTTTATGTTCAATCCCAAAGAAGATTCTTTTCCTTTTTATTCAGCACAGAACCCCAGCCATCAGGATGGTGATGCCGACATTCTAGGCCAGCTAGGGCTACACAGTGAGGCCCAATCTCAAAAAGCAAGACAAAAACATAATTGTTGCACCTAGCAAGTAGGAGGATTACTTCCTGCCACTCTATATTTGGTGGGAAACGTCCCACCCTGAGAAAGCAGTCTGAGGATGGATTACTCTGATGGGAATGACTTTTAAAACTTTTATGGGATGTTAGACTCAGATTTGAGTAGTCAAGTTGGTTTTGGAGTTACTTAGGGAAGAAAGGATGTATTTCGTTTACATATCCTGATCACAGTCTATCATGAAGTGGAGTCAGGACAGGAACCAAAGCAGAGACCATGGCGAAACATTGCTCACTGGCTTGATCTTCATAGCTTGTTCAGCTTTCTTTTTTTATGTGTGTGGCTATTTTGTTTGCATGTGTGCCTGGGCACAATGTGCATGCAATGCCAGCAGTGGCCAAAGGTGTCATCCTATCCTCTAGAACTAATGTCACAGTCAGTTGTGAGTGGCCATATGGGTGCTAGGAGTCAAACCTGGGTTCTCTGGAAGAGCAGCCAATGTTCTTAATTGCTGAGTCATCTCTCTAGCCTCAGCCTTTCTTATACAACTTAGAACCACCTTCCCAGGAGCGGTACCATCCCCCAAACAATCATTAATCAAGAAAATACTTTTCAGATTTACAGACTCAGTCAGTAGAACATGAGACTCTCAATCTCAGAGTCAAGGGTTCAAGCCCCACATTGGGCGCATTTTTAAATGGAGGTTTCTCTCCTGCCCACCAGTTCCCAAATAACCACTCAGAGGTCTGTTTAATTATGTTTGGCCAGTGGCTCAGGATTATTACTTGCAAGCTCTTATATTTAAATTAACCCATTTATATTAATCTGTGTATCATCACATGTCCTGTGGCTTACCGGGTGCTCAGGCACCTTCCAGGAACTGTCTAACCTTGGGCAAGGGGCTTGCAGATCAGAGGCATTTTTGTCTCAAAAAAGGTAAGTCTGTTGGACCTGGAGTGATGGCTCATGGTTAAGAATAACTCTGTTCTGGTATGAATTCCACCGATAGAGAAAAACCACTACCACAATTAAAATCCAGATTTGGAGCAAGCTTTAATTAAATACTGCCCAGATAGATAGGCTCTGGCCAGGTCCTTTTGGATTTCCAGAAAATGGCCCTGATGGCCTTTAGTCACAGTTTGCAGCAACTTAAGTATTTCCCATAAGGTCCACTCAGGAGCAAACATACATCCTGACTTACTTGCAGCCTCATCTAATCAGGGGCAAGCATACATCCTAATGTATTTCCTGCCTGTGAATCTCCCTCCACATGTGATCAAGCCCATTTGGTGCAAATGGGTCAAGCGAACTTATCCAGGGGAGTGAAAACATGTGACTTGTTATCGCCCATAAACAATAGCCTCCAACATTTCAGGAACTATCTGTTCTTGGAAAACAGGCTTGCAGGTCAGAGGCATTTTTGTTTCATGGATCTCTAAGGCATAGTAATTAAAACTTAAAATGTAACTATGCCTCTCACACTGGCAGAGGACCCAGGTTCAGCTCCCAGCACCCACACTGAGGCTCACAATTGGAAATAGCTCCAACTACAAAGGATTCTACACCCTCTTCTGGTCTCCTTGGGCACCCATGTGATTTACATCTATATATTCAGGCAAATACTTATACACACAAAATAAAAGGATCTGCATTAAAAGAAAAATTGGGCTGGAGAGATGACTTAGCACTTTTTTAAAGTGTTAAGTTGGGGGCATAGACCCCAGCCCCTCGCATCTATCCCAACCCCCCAGGCCTGAGAGTTGTATTGGTCTGGACTCCAAATCCCAGCATGCCAGGTCCTGACCACCCCAGGGATGTCAGGACCACGCCCACCGAGTATTTAAGTGAACGCCCAAAAGAGGATCACGTGGTCTTTTTTTCTTCCTCCCGGTGGTCACTTTTGCAGCCTATTGGTTCCCCCTGGCTACCGGAGAGCGCAGGAATCCCATTAAACCTGGATATTTTTTTAATTTGGCTTGTTTTGATTTGACTTGATTGGGAATTTGCGTCGGCAGAGAGCTCACACTAGGAAAAATTCCTAACACAAAGTACATTCGTTCATTTATTTATGGGGCTCACAGCATGGTTTAGAGGCCACAGAACAACTTGTGGGAATAGATTCTCTCCTCCCAGGCCATCAGGCTTTGCAGTAATGGGCAGTAATTTCCACAGCCATTGTTGTAGTGGCCTTTGTTTAGGTTTTTGTTATTGTTGTTTGTTTTTAAATTTTATTTTATGTGCGTTAGTGTGAGGGTGTCAGATCTCCTGGAACTGGAGTTACAGACTGTTGTGAGCTGCCATGTGGGTGCTGGGAATTGAACCCAGGTCCTCTGGAAGAGCAGCCAGTGCTCTTAATGGATGAGTCATCTCTCCAGCCCAATTACTGTTTATTAATAGGGGCCAATTCATTAATGTGTGTGTCATCCTTGTGCAGGGCCATCCCAATCTTCATGGTATAGTTCCAATGTTAGCACAGATGCTACTGAATGCTGTGTCTCATTTGGCTCTGTTTTGTTTTTAATGACAGGAATTCTAACTGGGGTAAGATGGAACCTCAAAGTAGTTTTACTTTGCATTTCCTGGTGAATGAGGATGCTGAGTACTCTTTAAAATATTTGCTGGCCATTGGGGGAAACATAAATATTTCTAAGTCAGGTAAGTGACAGTGAGATCTTCCATACTGGCAAAAGTGTGGAAATGTCTCTTGTCTAGAAGACTGCAAATTCTGCCGCTGTGTTCATCGAATCTTTTTTGGCACCTTGGAGAAGACAAGTGCTTGGTTTTATTTATTTGCTTAAATAGAATATATTTTTCTAAGTAATGCTACGCTCACTACTTAATTTTTTGTTGTTGTTGTTAGGGATAGACCCCAGGACCTAATGCATGCAGGGTACAGAAAATGCGCTCCTTTCTTGCTCTTTTGCTTAGCCAAGTAGTTACGAAAAGGTCACATTCCCTTGAGAAGCCTCTTCATTTCAACTTGGTGTTTACTTGTATCAGCTTTCCCAAGGAAGTGAGTCTATTAACAAACTCCAGCTATCCTGATTTCACAATAATACATTATTCAGCGATGCCTTTTTATGGCTGCTTGTCTCAGTGGGAACCTTACTCCTTGCAGAGCTGTGATGTAGGCTGTCAGAACAAAGATGCATAGTTGAAGTCCAGCAAAAGATTACATTTCAATGAAAGGGATCTCTTTTTTGAGATTTACTTATTTTTATTTTATGAGTATTTGTCTGCATGTATATATGTGCATGATATACATACAGTGCCCTTGGAGACCAAAACAGAGTGTCAGATCCAATGAAACTCAAATTACGGGTGGTTGTGAGTGGCCATGGGGGTGCTGAGAAATGAATCCAGGTCCTCTCAAGGGCAGCCAGTGCTCTTCCCCTCTGAACCACCTCATGCATGTGTGCATACATGCCACATGTGTGTGGAGGTCAGAGAAGTTCTAAAATTTGGTTCTCTCCATCAACCATGTGGATACCAGATCAAATGTAGGCTGTATCTGGCACGCATCTTTACTGCTGATCCATCTTGCCAGCTCTGGAAAAGCTTTTCAATATTGATTTGAAAGAAATAGCTTATAAACCTGGAAATCGGTGGTTGAATTAGTATTGTACCCACACTGGTGGTGTGTTCATCCCAACAGCGAGAATAAGACCACTACCACAATTTGAGCCAAATTGAAGCTCAATTTGAAGCAAGCTTATTTTTTTTTTTATTGGAGTACATCCAAGAGCTGGCCAGTGTCTGTCTCCTAAGTTGGGTTAAAGAGAGCAGTTTCTTTTGGGTGGTGGTGACTCGTGCCTTTAATCCCACCGAGCATTTGGGAGGAAGAGGCAGGTGGATCTGAGCAAGTTCGAGGTCAGCCTGGTCTACAAGCAAGTTTCAGGACAGCCAGGACTGTTACACACACACACACACACACACACACACACACACACACACAAAACCCTCCCTCAAAAAAAGAGCAGCCCTGAATCCATTTCTTGGGAACCTTTTAAGGAGTAAAATTACAAGTAGTTTAGAGAAAACAGATAATGGGGCAATAAGGAAATAACAACAGCAAAAAAAAAAAAAATCTCAAAAATCATGTCACCCTGTGATTAGGAAGGGGTCAGGGACAGTAAGCTATTCTCAAAAACAAGGCAAGGTCATGGGTTGGAGAAGGTCATGTTCCAGGAGACAGAGAACTAAGCTCTTACAGTAAATAGACTTATTTTTAACAAGACAATGTAATATCTCCTGCTTTCAAAATGAAGTCAGGCAGGTTCCTCATCTCCAGTGCCATCTGCTCCTCTGTCAGGAGAGGTAATTGAAGTCAGTGAAACACTTGAAGGAACCCTGGGGCTCATCAACAAATTCTGTTCTGAAGATGGTTGACTGATCAAGATGACAACGAGTGACCCTTCAGACCTAGGTGAATTACAAGTGAAGAAGCCTATGAGAAATACAGGAACTCCATTGACAGTTGACCATGACACCCATCTACCCTTGAACTCACAAAGATCTGCCTGTCTCTGCCTCCCGAGAGCTGGGACTAAAGGCATGTAACACTACCACCCGGTCTGGCAACCAGGTCTTAATACCTTTTAGGCATGGTCCTGGGCAGCCCCTGGGGAGGAGCTGACCCTTGGCAGGGCCTTCTTTGGGCAGAGTCTGGAAAGGGCAGCTCCAGGGAGCTGCTGCATGGTGTGCTGAGGGTAAGGTTTGGAATGGGGTCCCCGAGCTGGAGATCCCTAACATCTTGAATGAGTGGATAGTAGAAGACTTGAAATAACTTTTAGCAACACAAATAGGGAAAAAAACTATTCTCAACAGTGCGACTGAAGAAAGTCTCAACTTCCTAATAGGTGCGTATGAATACAATGTACATCTTTTAATAAATAAAACCATAGACTAGGTATAAAGGCTAAGTTCTGGTGTTTAGAATTCAAGAGATCATCTCTGGTAAAAAGGGCTAATGCCGAGTGGTGGAATGACTTGCAGGCTGCAGTCCATCTAATCCAATAATGGCTAGCTGTGTCTTCTTGGAAAGCCCAAGAATCTAGCAGCTGCTCCGTCTTGAGCCTTGCTCACACGAGGCACGTGTCTCAACTGGTCTTCTATGTATGCTGGAATCCCGAAGAAGTAATACCCATAAAGGAAAAGGGTGTGCTGACCAGGAAAGGGCAAGCAGGTGAAGAAGAAACACACCCTTGCTTCTTCCAGAGGCTTCCAGCAGGAGGTGTGGTCCAGTTTAAGGTGTGCCTTCTAGCCTCAAGATCTGGATTAAAGGTGTGTGTCTTCCAGCCTCAAGATCCGGATCACACGAGTGTGCCCTCCGTTTCTGAAGTGTAGTTCATTCAAGATACAGTCAAGTTGACAACCAAGAATAGCCATCACCAAAGTGCTAATGAAACTGCATGTAGTGACAGGTCACCCTTTGATCCCAGCACCCGGCAAGTGGATCAAGGCCAGCCTGGTCTATGTAGCAAGTTCCAGGCCAGCCATAGTTACGTGGTGAAATCCTACCTTTAAAAAATAGTAGTCGTGGGACTGGAGAGATGGTTCGGTGGTTAAGAGCACTGGTTGCTCTTCCAGAGGACCCGGGTTCAATTCCTAGCACCCACATGGTAGCTCAAACTGTCTCTAACTCTAGTTCCAGAGGATCAGATGCCCTCACATACAGGCAAAATATCAATGCATATACAATGAAAAAAATTTAAAAAAATAGTGGTTATAAAAATCCGGTGTTTCAGGATAACAATCGAAGTCTCACATAATATTGTAACCCACTGTCTTAGTCACTGTTCCGCTGCTGTGAAGAGACACCATGACCAAGGCAACTCCTATAAAAGCATCTAACTAGGGTCTTGCACACAGTTTCAGATGGTTAACCTGTTCTCATAATGGTGGGAAGCATGTGCCGGAACAGTAGCTGAGAGCTTTATATCCTGATGGGCAGGCAGCAGGCAAAGAGAATGAGACTGGGCCTGCCCCGGGCTTTTGAAACCTCTAAGTCTACCTCTAGTTAGACATCTTCCTCAACAAGACCACATCTACTTCAACAGGGTCCCACCCCATATCCATTCCCAACAATCCATCAGCTGGATTCACTGCTGAGCTATTTCTTCAGTTTCACAAAGAAATACTGTAAATGAGGTGCTCAGAATAAATACTTAAAAATGAAGTCAGACTGGGTTTTTGTAAACTTCACTGACCTCATACCTGGTAATGTGGGAGTGAGTAATGGGATTCTTCATGCACAACTCAGTGGGGTGGAATTTTAGGAATGCAACGCTGTCCTTTTCCCAGAAACATCTTGCACAAACATTCTCCTAGTGATAAGAATGGGACTAAGGATGTAGCTCAGTGGTACAGTCTTTGCCTTTTATACATGAAGCCTTGGGTTCCTTTCTCAGGGTTGTAAAGACCCTTTGGTGTTCAGAGAATGTGATGGCTAATATTGGTTGTCGACTTGATTGTGTCTGGAATCATCTAAAATATAACCCACTGGACACTCCTATGATGAACTTTTTTTAAAAAAAAAGATTTGTGTATTAGGTATACATAATAAATATGTATGCCTGCATGCCAGAAGAGGGCACCAAATCTCATTATAGATGGTTGTGAATCACCATGTGGTTGCTGAGAATTGAACTTTGGATGGACCTCAGTGCTTTTAACCTCTGAGCCATCTCCCCTGCCCCAAGATTTTTTTTTTTTAAATCGGATTATTTGAAGCCTAAAGGTGGGCGGCACCTCCTGGTGGCACCCAGATACAAGGACATGGGAGGAAATTTAGCTTGTTTGCCCTCACTCTCCACCCTGTTGTGGCGTTACTTCGCTGATAACTCGTTTCTTTGGGCTTCCAATGTAAATTGAAAACAAGCAGCTCTCAGGGCTGCTCCAGGCCTTCAGCACCAGACTTGGACTGCCAGGACATCTCGCCTTGTGGATTGAGCAACTACTGCAGGATTCTTGACTTCGTCAGTATGAGTTTTTCTATTATAACAAAACCAGATGAAAGCATAATAAAACGCAGTGCTGAAGCTTTAAGAGTTATCTAATCAGTCTGTTATTTGGGGGCAGGAATTAATTTTCCCTGCCTTCTTATTGCATACTTATCGGGTAGAGATGAAAGAAGATGGAAAATAAGAAAGAGACATTTTTTTAAGTATTTATTTTGATTACATCCTTTGCAATAACTCTTTTTGGGGCTGGAGAAAGCTCAGCAGTGAAACATGTCCTCTTGCAGAGGACTCCAGTTTAGTTCCCAGCACACACACACACACACACACACACACACACACACACACACACACGGCAGCCCAGGAGCACCTGGAACCCCAGTTCCAGGGGGTACAACGCCCTCCTCTAGTCTCTGAGGGTACACAGGTGGTACACAGGTATACATGCACTCATACACATAATTTTTAAAAAAAAACTTTTCATGTGCTTTGTCTGTGTGCACATATGCACGAGACTTCCAAATATCAAATTT